AGCATGGTCATCCTTAACTGCCCTCCCCTGGAAGCTTGATCGCCCTCAACTACCCTCCTTTGCAGGCCTGGTCCCTCCCAACTAGCCATCTTCCTGCTGGCCATCTTGTATCCACATGGGGGCAGCCATCTATCACCACATGGGGGGGAGTCTTCTTGTGTGTTGGAGTGACAATCTGCATATTAATTAGATAGGACGATAGAAGCCTGGTATACGGGCAGGGGCAGACTGGTGGGTCCTGAAGGGTGTCCCAGATCAGGGTGGGGTTCCCTTGGGATGTGGGGGGGCCTGGACCAGGGGTCTATGGTGGTTTGCAGGCTGGCCACGCCCCTCCCCCCCCCCAGAGACCCAACTGGAGGCCCCGATATCTGGGATTTATTTATCTTCTATTATTGAAACTTTGTAGCCTTAAGTGGAGGCCAGGGCAGGCCAGGGCTGCAGAAAGCTTGGCTTCCTCTATTGCCAAGGAAACCCACGCCTCCTGCTCACTCCATCTTGGTTGGGTTAATTTGCATACTCACTCCTGATTGGCTGATGGGCATGGCTTGCGGGAGTAGCGGAGGTACAATCAATTTGCATGTTTTGCTTTTATTAGTGTAGATATTAATGTGTCACTTCCCTGATTCAAACTCTTTCCATCAAGCTGCTCAGGATATCACACAATGGTAATACCTGAATAGTATATCTAAATAGACCAACATGTTTTATACCTCATGTATATGAGTAATCTCCTTTACATTCCTCTTCTATAACTTATTTGCCTGGCTATCTCTTTTGCAGGCTTCAAGACTCACCTTTAGATTCCCAGGATGGACTAAGTGCCTTCCCTATTTCCATAACAAGCCTGTCTAATCTATACTTCCATCTAAGCATTTACCACATAGTATTAGAATTCTCTACTTAGGATCTGTCTCCTTCATTACTCTGTTATCTGGCTGACATGAGTTAAGACAAAATGTACTCAAATCATCATAATGGAAAATTAAAGAAAAGTAGAAAAACATACTAGACACATATCTGCATTTAATGAGGGCTTACTACTTCACAAATAATGTACTATCTACTAGCAATATAAGGAAGAGTAAGATATTGATCCTGACCTCACAGGGACTATGTCATCTGAAAGGGAAAATTTCTGGCAAAGAACTTCAAAAGGTAGGTAAGCTAAACAGCATGGCTCAAATATATTCAAATACATTTCTTATATTTCCATATAGATTATAGGTAAATTATATTAACCATCTTTGTATCACACGTGGTGATTCTTGCATAATTATTCCTGCTAAGAATATGTTGTATGATATGGTCTATAAATGTTTATGAAATATCACAGGTATATTTATTGATAAGACAGAATATACTAAATAAAACCAGCAGATAATTTACTTTTAATGTTGGGGGGAAATTACAAAGTATATTTACTTAAATTACTTAGAGACCTTTTAGTAATAAGATCATGTAAAAATGAAAAAGGTGAGAGAATCTATGTGAGAAAAGAACACAAATCACCCTTCCGTATATAATAAAAAGCAATTATGCAAAGACCTAAAGGGGGAACAACTGATTATTATGACGTGCACTGACCACCAGGGGGCACGCATGGAACATAGCAGGTGGCAGCAGCAGGCGGCAGAGCACAGAACATGCCAGGTGTCAGCTGTGCCGGATGGTGGAGGTGAGTGGGGGCGCCAGTCACTGTCATCAGGGCAAGCCTCTGATGGCTACTGAAAATTATTTGTTCCATGCGCCGCAGTCCCACTTGGCGCTTGCACCTGCTTCCGGTGCTGGCCCTGCTCACCCCCACTGCAGGCACCAGAGCTGTCGCTCACACCCACTGCCGGTGCCCAGAGCCGGCCCCGATTGCCCCTCAGGGCTTCTCCACCTACCCCAGCTCCTGAGGGGTGATTGGGGCAACAGCAGCTGCTCGCACCCACTGACAGCACTAATCCCGCTGCTTGCACCAGCCCCACTGCTCACACAATAAGCGGTGTGAGAGTGGCAGCATCACAAGTGGGACTGCTGGCAGATAGGGGGCCAAGGCAGGAGGGGCTAGGCAGGGGCGTAGAGGATGGGCTGAGACCCACCGATGGGCTGAGACCCACCCCTGTGCCCACCTCAGCCTCAGCCCACAACTCCTTTCAAGGTGCACTAATTTGTGCACTGGGCTCCTAGTACATAATAATTATCTGTTTAAAATTCTACATGTATCTGACAGTAGCTGAAAGCAGTTATGGGTAGATGTAATCCTATAGTTCTATGTATGTGTTAAATATACAGTTTTAAAAGACATCACAACTTCATTGATTTCTTGTTCAAATATTTATTCAAAAAGCAAATTCTTTATGTACTTTTTGTATAGCATATGCCTTCTCAGTCAATTTCAAATATATTTTAAGATGGGATAATAAAAACAATTTGTAACATATGGTAGTCAAATATAATGTTAAGGTATTTGGCCTTGTAAATGAAAAATTTTATGTTGCTATCTCTCTCTTAACAGAGTTTTGTTTTTAAAAGAAAAGGATATTTTGAGAAAGTGATCTGTATATTTGAATCAATGCTGACATTACCTGGCATAGCATTCCCACTTATGTCAGCATTCATGACAGCAGTGAAAACAAAGAAAAATAAACATTAAAGGAGGATGCTTAAAAGAAGGGGAGATGTAAAGCAAAAATTTATTCTGCAATGTAAATAACCTTCCCTTGGAAAATAAATCTAAGAAAATTAAATTTGGCTAGAAATTTATACTGAGTATCACTAATCAGACTGATCCTAACTCCAGATTCTGATTTTTATAGCAACCCATTATGTTTTCTGAATATGCAAAGATCTCTGAGAATTCAGTATCTCACCCCATTTAAGATGCCTCAATTATGTATCTTTAACATCCATTACAACATGAACAGTAACCTATAGTCACAACACGAACAGTAACCTATAGTCTCTAACAGTATTGAGAAGCAGACATTTCTCAGGAAATTTAAAAAAAAATCAACTAAATTTTTTTCTCAGTATTAACTGTACTCTGAACTAGTTTAGAAAGTACATATTGATGAACTTAAACTTTTTATTCTTAAGAGCCTTTGATTTTTTTTCACGATGATAGTGGTCTTAAAAAAAACCTATAAAATTTAAAGTATCAATTGTTATAAATACTTGGTTAAAAAGGGGAAAAAAAAAAAGGAAAAAGTTTAAATAGCTCCTTAGGTTCATGGCTTTGGATACTATGAATATTAAAGCATGAATGATTAATTGTATGTGTATAAAGATTTGATCTACCCTGATTAGATAAAGCTAAGTGGAGTAGGATGAAATTAATAGTTTACTTATATACTAAACTCATATAAACTGAGAAAATTTTTACTACTCACCCTTAAGATTAACTAATTAGATATTTTACGTGGTATACAACTCTATAACAGGTAGTGATCATCTAAAGAAATCAGTCTTTTTAAAATATCTTCCATCAACTACAGACCCAATGTAAACTTCTATTATTGGAGAATAATTAAAAACTTACCGTAATATCAGCAATGACAGTAGCAAAAGTAAATATGTGTAATGATATTCTAATATGATTGATCTATGATATCTCCAAATTTAAAATATCCAGGTTATAATTTATCTTTAATCATTAATTTTCTCACAGTAACTAATCTACCCAATATGCATCTTCTAAAATCCAATTGCCCACCCTCCGAATGCAACAATACATACCTTTGCCTTTTCCCTTCACTTTACCCCTTCTCAACATGCACACGGAGCATTATTCAATGCTGTGAATAATATTACAAAACTATGTGATGTTTTGACAGAATGTTCAAAATCAGAGAAGAGGCTGTGCGAAACAGATGTAACTTAAGAGTGCTAACCCTAAGGACAAATTTGCAACAAAGCTGGCAAGCCTATGTGAAACCCATTCTCACCGTCCATTCTTAAACTTTCCCCAAAAGTGTTCATTTCATTTGTAATACTCTGAGATTCCACCAATTAGAGATTTATTGGCATCTTTTTTTAAAATGTAGAGATTTATGGGAGTTAGAGATTCTTAGTAGTATTAAGACTTTGTGTAAATTAACTTAATAGGACTGCTCTTCTCCTATAACTAGCTGAGACCAACAGCATTATTGGAACTGGAAAGCAGATTGAAGAAGGATCAGTTAAAGAAGAAACACGGGGGGAGGGGTAGCTGGTATGGAAACACCATGGCACTGCAGCAGAAAGAATGTGATGGCTCTGAATAACCCTGGGTTTGAATCTGTTTCCATCACTTATCATGTGATCATAGGCAAATAACTTAATCTCCTTACATCTCAACTTGCTCTACTATAAAATAAAAATATTCCCCCATAAGACTGTCTTATATGAGACAGAGTGGCACAAAAAGCTGACATGTAACCAATTTTCAAAAATACCAGTTTCCTTCTTTTCCACATTCATTATTGATGTAAGAACAGAAAGGCACCAAAGAAAAAGTAGACTATATCAAAATGGTGCCCCCCAAAAAAGCTCTTCTTGAACACCAGGCTCAGTCAATAGAATGTAAGAAAACACTTGTTTTCTTTCCTCTACCCCACTCCCATTCTTTCTTCTTGACTATAATGCCTTAGTCACAGGACTGAAAACTCATATAGTACTACTAGGTTTATTATAACACTATATTATGACTTGTTTATATTAAAGATAAAATAGATCTTAGAAGGTGGACTGAGAGCCAATCTAACATTAAATTTAATACAACAAATATTAATTGGATATGTAAGATGTGTCTTAGGTGATTGACAAAAGATAAGAGGAGAATGAAAAAATAAGAAAAATCCTTTAAAGGGTTAGTAATTTTATATTTTTTTATTTCAGAGAATTTTATAGCATTCATCTCTGAGAAACCCAGTTAGTTAATAAGTTAAGAACTTTATGCTATAGAAACTTTTTTTTAATATTCTACTTCTATTAGTCAATCTTTCATTGATTATTGAATTTTTAATACAAAAAATTACCTGCCAAAATTTCGGTGTTTCGTGCAGCTATTGTTTTAACTTTTATTATTCCTGATTCAGCAGCCTGCAAGAATAAAAATAATTAGAACAAAAGACTTACTTTCAATATGAATTACCTAGGGGGAAAATTATATATGATAGATAAACTCTCAAGCATAGACTCAGTCACTACTATATTTTTATTTTTAAAACTTCAATAAAATGTAATAAAATATTAATTATTTAATTATTCACATGCAAGCTCTGCACTACAGCATGTTGCTTTCTCTACCTTAAGGCACATCTGGAATACCCTATAATTACAGATTTCAATGTTCAGAAAATAAAAAATAATAAAGAAAAACAAAATTAGGTTTCTCTTCCCCATTTCACACCTTCCTCCCCACCATAAAAAATGGCAAAACACTGCAATATCAAGTAAAACTGTTTTGAATTAAAAGAGAATGGATAACCAAGCACTTATTACTTTAGGTTATATTTTTTTAAACACTCGTTCAGTTTTCACAAAATGTCTAAAACACTACATCATAAGTATGGTTAGTACTTGGAGATCAGATGGCATTTTATGCAATGCCACCGAACTGTGATGTCCATTATGGTAGGCATTGGTTACATGTGACTATTAAGCACACTGTATGTGGCTAGTCTGAAATAAACTGTGCTCTAAGTTTAAAACACACTACATTTTTGAAGACTTAACATGATTAAAAAAAAATGTAAACTATCCCTTAAATATTTATACTGAATGTTGAAGTGACATTATTTTGATCATACTGGGTTAAATAATACATATTATCAAAATGAATGGTGTTTTTACTTTTTAAATTCAATTTAAAATTATATCTTGGATTATACTTGGGGTCCACATTATATTTCTATTGGACAAAATTTTAACATAAATCTTGATATACAGCTTCCATCATAGTAACTCAGAATATTTTAACTATCAAGTAACATGCCATGGGAGAAAAAGGAGAACCTATGCAATACTTTCAACAATAAAGATTAAAAGAAAAAATAAAATAAAAAAGAGCATGCCTATTTTCTACTTATTCTGGTCCCCACACCTCTAAAAATAATACACAAATACTTCTACGTCCAAGTTTCCCTATTAATTTGCTTGCTACTTGCTCATGTATTTTGTTACCTCTTATTACTTGCTAAAGAACAAATGGCACCATGCTCTATAAATGTTTAAAAATAATTATGGGAGAACACCATGTCTTCTGGGTTCTTTGAGAACCAGTGAATTAATGCATAAAATTAACACGTTGTCGACTATACCATGTGTAGACCTTTGCCATTGTGTTGGCTTCGAACCATGTAAAGACCTTGCTTTTATTTGAAGAATTCAAAACTTCATGAATTTTGATACATGATAGATAGAGGCTATGTTGCACTATTAAAATGGAAAATGCCAGATAAGTGCTTGCTTTCCCACATGTCCTGGCAGCCCATACTTATCTCACTCACACACTATCCTATGGGAACTTAGTAGCACAGAAAAGCAAAGAGACAAGAGACAATTTTTTTCTGACGATGGCCACAGTGGAGATGACATGGACTTTCCAAGAGCAGGGATGGCAGCAGAACCAGTGGTTGCATGAAGGGACCAGTACAACCAGTAGTGCAATCTGAGGCACCCAGTCACTCACTGTTCAGCAAAGACAGCAATAATGATTTGATTGGCATGTGGTACTGTGACTCCAGCTGCTTAGCCTCTCTTTTTCCTGCACTTTTTCTTAAGGCTAGCTCCATCCGGCCTTCCACGAGTGCTGTGAGCCGCTCAATGTCATTTCTATTTATATCAGTCAGAATCAGATTTCATTGCTCACAACTAAAAGCCCTAATGGTTACACTTAGGACTTAATAATTTTAAGAGGTAGGAATGTCCCAAATTAAAAGACCATCGCTACTTGCAGAAAAATATAAAAATAAAGGGACTATTTAAAACAAAAATAAAGGGACTACCTTCAGGAAAAGAGTATTGATTTTCTGATTATTTGGAGCTGTGTTAAAAAAAATCCTGATGCCCATTCCTTAAATCAGAATGAATGCCAGTAGGATCCAGGTTTTAAAATCTTCAGGTGATTTCAACAAGCAGCAACTTTTAGGAGGCTTTTGCAATAATATAAGCAAGATATGTGGTGAATAAGCGAGACTTCTCTATTTACAGTCTTGTCCTCCATTCATCCACTGTCTCAATTTAATGGTTCCCAACACCCAATCCTACAAGTGATTTTCAAAACTGAGTAGTATAAGAACATCTTTTAAAAATAAAAATTCTCATGGACCTACCAAGTCACTGACAAATTTAAGTTAATATAAATAAAATTTAAAATAAACTCATTTTTATAGCTATTAAATTACGAAGCTAATAAAGTCCACAAATTAAATACAAACCAAAATAACACTAATTTAATGTGGAAAATAATGTTTTACTGAAATTAAACCACTGCTAAAAGCATTGAGGATAGCTGTAGATTTATAGTGTAAGTTCTTCTGATTTTGGTATTCTTATAGAACCATAGCAGTGACAGAAACCATTTCTTCCATTACCTTTTTTTATAGCAACTGTTTAATAGTGGGCTCTCTATGGTTTGTACCGGTAACATTTTATCCCACATATGTAGATATAAAAATTAAATGCTACTTTCCTTCACTAATAGCTCCTATGTTATGTTTCTTAACATAACGTACTAGAGTCCCAGTGCACAAAATTCATGCATGGAGGGGGAGGGGGTTCCCCCTCAGCCCAGCCTGCATCCTCTCCAATCCAGGACCCCTTGGGGGATGTCCAACTGCTGGTTTAGGCCCGATCCCGTGATCATGCCTAAACCGGCAGTCGGACATCCCTCACAATGCTGGGCTGCTGACTCCTACTCGCTCACAGCCTGCCAGCCTGGTTGCCCCTAATTGCCCTGCCCACGCCAGAATGATCACCCCTCACTGCCTCTGTGTGCTGGCCTGGTTGCTCCTAACTGTCCCTTCTACCGGCCTGGTTGCCTCCCCTGCCCCCCTCTGCCGATCTGGTACCTGGTCGCCCCTAACTGCTCCCTCACCCCATGCTGGCCTAGTTGCCCCTCATTGCCCTCCCTACTAGCCTAATCACCACTCACAGCCCTCAGCCAGCCTTGTTTCCCCCAACTTCACCCCCACACCACTGGCCTAGTCACCCCTAACTGCCCCCGACTGGCCTGGTCACCTCTTACTGCCAACCCTGCCAGTCTAGTTGCCCCCAACTGACCTCCTCTGCTGGCCTGGTCGCCCCTAACTGCCCCCCACCCTGCCAGCCTGGTCGCCCCAACTGCCACCCCTGCCTGCCTGATTGGCCCTCATGGCCCCTTCAGCAACCTGGTCACCCCACACAGCCTGCTTATTCAGTCATTTGGTCATCCCTCATTAACCCCCCTGCTGGCCTAATCACCCCACACAGCCTTCTGTTCAGTTTTTTTATCCCTCACTAACACCCCTGCCAGCCTGGTCGTAGGCAGCCATCTTGTGAGGGCTTGATGGTCAATTTGCATTTTACCTCTTTGTTATATTGTATAGTCCTGATCAACTGGACCCCAGCAGCAAGCTAACCTACTAGCCAACTGTCTGCCCCCTGGTGGTCAGTGCACATCATAGCAAGTGGCTGAGCAGCCTTAGCATATTATGCTTAGACTGACTGAACAGATAATTAGACCACCGGGCATTTAGCATATTAGCTTTTATTATATAGGCTAGAACACAATTGATTTTAACATGAGCAAATTTCTCTGACCAGTGAACAATAAAGGTCACAGTATATTATAAAATACTAAGCCAAAACAAGTACCATATTTTTCCATGTATAAGACTTTTCCAACCCAAAATTAAGAAATCAATATTTTAAACATTTTGCTGATTAAACATAAGGCTTAAGGCCTTATTTTTTTGGCATTTTAAGCAGTTGTTCTTCCTGTTTTCTCCACTATATGATCATACACTTAGTGGAGGGAGGTCCAAATTGTCTCTCTGCAGCTCTATTTCCATCCATGCTCTTTTGCATAGCTGATTACATTCAGTTTGAATTTGCAGAGAAAGACAATCTGGTATTTATCTTTTTTTTTTTTTTTTTTTTTTTTACATTTTTATGGGCTCAGAACACTCGGGTCTCTGTTGCATCGGCACACTCACCACCTCCACCTCCAATTACATCATCAGCTGATGTCAATAACAATAAGGCTTGTGTTTGAAGAAAGCCTGTTTGACAAAGTATGGGCAGCTATGCACTCTCACAACTCCCTCCTCAGCTGACATCTTTGTATAAGATGTCCCTCAATTGCCGAAACCAGTTTGGCTCAGTGGATAGAGCGTCGGCCTGCGGACTGAAAGGTCCTGGATTCAATTCCGGTCAAGGGCATGTACATTGGCTGTGGGCACATCCCCAGTAGGGGATGTGCAGGAGGCGGCTGGTCGATGTTTCTCTCTCATCAACGTTTCTGGCTCTCTCTCTCTCTTCCTTCCTCTCTGTAAAAAATCAATAAAAAATATTTTTTTAAAAAGTCCCTCAATTTTCAATCTAACAATTTTAGAAAAAAATAGCATCTTATACATGGAAAAATACAGTAAGCATCTAAACACTATCTAGCCCTCACTTGAAACATATATGTTTTTGTTAACCAATGCCTCCCAATAAACTCAATTAAAAAAAAGATATTTCTAAGTGTGGTTGAAATTATTCATAGCCTTTTCTGTTTTGGAGTGTCATATTTGCTGTATCTACTCTACTGCACTTAAGCAGAAATGGCTCTCTCTTTGCTTTGGGATTGAGTCTTAAATTGGGTAGTTATTCAAGCAGTACTGTTATATATGAAAACACTGACTTGTAAGAGACTGGTGTGGGGTGTGAGGAGGTTCATTCTGTCTTGCCTCCTGGATTTTGCATTAAGAAGCCCTAATTATCTATGTAATAGTGAACCACTTTGCCCTCCATCTCCTGTAACATAATATTTAAAAGGAAAAAAAGGAACAATAAATTAAATGGACTTAACAGTCCAAATGCCACTAGACAGTTTTCACAAGTCCTACAAAAGAGAG